GTTCGACCACACACACACACACACACACACACAATTCATTCCCTTCACGGATGCTCATCGTCCTCTTCCACCGTGCGTTTATCCCAAAATCGAGAGGAAGAACGATCCCTATTGGGCGTTCCCCGCCAAACCGGATCGATAGTCGCTCAGTTTACAATTACGAGAGTATTCTTCCGCGTCACCAGCCCTCGATTTCCGGTCCCTCGATCACCGCACAGACACACGCGCCCTTGTTGCTCCCCTTCGCGGGAGGAGAGATCGAGTGGATGACGATCGATCGTTTCGACTCGATTGCGGGGGAGGATGATCAGATGATCTTTCGACACTTGGCGCGGTGCGTGTATCTCAGCAGTCTGAAGCGCGTCTCCTCCTCGATACGCTTTGCTCGCATTATTTTCAGAGGGTTGCCGGTGGGTCGTCTTCTTGCCTTCCAAACCTGGAGAAGAAGAACCGTGTTGCGGGGGGGTTTCCGTGTTTCGTGGAATCTGGAAGAGAGAAATATTGGCCTGAAATATGATGAAAGAAAATGTGTTGAAAATGAAAAGATTTAAATTCATTTAAATCCCCATCCGTAATCTTGTTTTCTTGTTATTATTGTTTATTTAACGTTGCAAATATGTTTGTTTGTTTGTTTGGTGAATTTCACTTAAGGTTATTAAGAGGGTCTCGTTTAATAATATTTTATTATTTTCAAAATTTCGTTACGTAATTTACGTAATTTGCGAAAGGTTTTAAGTAGAGTTTAAGTAATTTCTTTTTCTTTTTTTTTTTATGAATATGTAAAATATCTAAATAAATGAATCGAATTGAAGATGGAATTAAATTGAAAGATAATATATATATATATATATATATTGATAATCAAATATCAATACAAAAAAAAAAAAAACTAAAATTTCTCCATATTGTCACCAGACAATGGATATTCTCCATATTGTCACGCATGACAATATGTATCATGAAAAATTCTCCATAAAAAAAAAAAAAAGAAGAGAAAAGAAATAAAAGAGGGGAAAAATTATCAAAAATTCCAGAGCGAACGTTTCCACATTCGCGTTAATTCGAATAAAGTGTTTGAGCAGCTCGATGTGCACCATGGTCGAAAGATGATTTCGTTCACGCAGCAGCCGGAAACCGCGTTGGCGGTGGACAAGGATCGCTGAAATGCGAATTCACGGGAGGCTTCACTCGGCGAATTAAGGCACACCATTTTCGTTCACATCCATCTTTTGTCTTTGTTGCCATTTCTCCCTCTCCCTTTCCTCTCGAAAAATCGTTCGTGTACAATAATTGGGACCGACAGACGCACGTTCTTACCTTTTTTTACTCGGTAATTGACCGTGGAGAACGGCTCGTTGTCACGTGATTAAAATGGTCGATAGGACAGGGCTCTGTCTAATCGACCGTTTCATTCGAATCGGCAGCGTCGTTTCGATTTTGTTGGGTAAATCGAATGAATTTATCGCTTCCAAAATCTGTGGAAAACTTTTATTTCTTGTTCTTTCTCCTTTTTTCCCCCTCAAATTGATCGTCATTTTCAAAAATCAAGCGTGAATGTATTTGGAATCAAATGGGAGGAAGACTCGCCCGATCGAACGTAGATCTATTCCACTTGCCGATCGTAAAGAATCGTTTCGAATTATATTCTCGACGATATCGATAGAAAAAATAACTCGAAAACATTTCTATCATATTTTTAGTAAATTTATACATACGGAAGTTGTATACTTTTTATTTTTCATTTACGTACGAGAATTATTCGTAAAATATAACTTCGTAAAATTATTTCTTACAAAATCAATACAGAACTATTTAACTAACACAGACAAATTATTTTTAATATCCGCAATTGACAATCCCTGAAAAATTACTCTTCGATTCGAGCTCACAATTATTTCTTACAATTCTTGCACGATCGATCGAGTTTCGAATACTTTTTCCTTTTTTCCTTTTGTTACCGAAAATCTGACCGAAAGGATAAAAGATCGGGCGCATTTTCCCAGAATAATTCTTCCCACAGTCTTTTACATGGATTACGAGTCGATTCACCGGTGCCTCCGGAATTATTCGTTTGGAAATAAAAAACGGGTTTAAAAAATGGACAAAATCCATGGACAGATCGTTATCCATTCCTGCTCGTCCAACCTTCGAACACGTTTCTCATCCCCACGTGTCGATCGTGTCTCCAGATCCAGGTTGCACAAGTGAAACGTGACTGTCGCACGAATTTCATGGCGAAGGGTTGAAGGGATGAATCTTAAAGATTGGCTGACTGTAATTTTTTTTCCTTTTCATTGAAAATTCAACTTAGGAATAAATAATCATAACATGTTATTTTTTCCTCTCACTCGAAAATTCAATATGCAATATAAATAATATAAATTATAATAAATTTTCAATCGTCGAGAAGAATTGCCTGAATTCGAAGGAATAAAAAAAGAAAAAGGAGAAGACGGTTCATAATAATAATAATAATGGTCGCCAATTAATAAATTTTTTCCATGGTTCCTTTTAATAATCACGTTCAATTCAACGATAGTATACACAAATAATCGTGATACGTTGTAAAATTTAATGATTCTCAATTTCCATTTTCTCTTTAATCACCTTTGAAACCTTTACCTATGCAATATTATTATTAAAAGAAAATAATAAAATACACTTTACCACTATTGCAAATTAATATCACGAAAGAACAATCGACGTTTATTTCCCGCAGCGTTAAAAAAAAGAAAAACAAAAAAGAACCGCAAAGGGCAAACTCCAACGACCCTTCCATTAAAACCCAAAAGCATTTTCCTTCTCTCTCTCTCCGTGCAACAACTTGAGAGAGTCACAATTGTGAAAGGCGTTCGTCGAAATATGTTAACGCTCCTCCTCTCGCGCTTAAAGGATGACTGACGCACGCACAAGGACGAGGAAAGGCTTTTGCCGAGTTCACGGCACCGTGAAATCGTTCCAACTATTAATTACCTCTTTCCCCTCCCCTCGGTGGTGGAAGCGTGAGTGGAAGAGGTTTAAACGAATTGTTTTCGGAAAGCAAGAAGATGGGAGGGGAAGACCTTATTAAGGGGAAGACCTTCTGTTTAAATTAAACGTCACAAACGCTACCGATGATGCGAACCTTGGGATATTTCTTGTTTTCTTGCGGAGGGAGGGGAAGCTGGCGACACGATGCTTTTTGTTCGACGTTGGGGGGAAGGCAGTTGGAATTTGAAACAGCCAGGCGAGGGCTTTGATTTAGAGTTTGGGAGTTTTTGCGAGATTGCAAGAGAATTGATAAAGGAAGTGATGCTTCTTTGGGGAGAGAAGTTTGATTTGTGAATTGTGTAATTGAGAATTGAAGAGGTTGATTATTTTGGCACGAATTTTCTTTCTTTCTTTCTTTTTTTTTTTAATCGATTAATAGGATTTTTGGAATGATTGATTTCGAAGAGGAGGAGGTGATTTGATTTTTGAGATTGGAGAAATGGAAGATTGAAATTTTATTTTTCGTCATTCTGCAAATTCGTTATAATTCGGATTGTTCATCAATGTGAAACAATGGTTTGTAACGTTTTGACGATGGTAAATTTTATGCAAGATTATCTTCCATTGTTCGTCTGATTATACAGCACCTAGTACTACTTGAGTAACACGGCTGTATCTTGTTCTATTTGCTTACTTAAGTACACACTTCATCTCGTTCGTCTGACTATGGATGGATCTATTCTACTGCTCTGTCCACAGAAAATCACGTAACTAAGATATTTAACGATTCAATTATTCTGTAAAATATATTTCAATGTTTGTGTGCGTCGCTTTCTACAATCTTACTCCAAAATAAACATTCGTTCATTTTTATTTATAATCAATTAAATTCATAATTAAGAAATGAAAAATAAATCTATCTGAATCTATCTAATATATAAAATTATTAATCATTGATTGATTAAATTTAAATTAACATTTTTGATAATAAAAATATCGTAGGGGGAAAATTTTATTTCGATATTTTCGAAAAAAAAAACATATTAGAACAGATATGAAATATAATAAATATGAGAAATAGAAAAAAAAATATATACAATGTTTTACAAGTTTTCCAAAAGTTGTTTCATATCCATGTAGTTTGGATATCCTGCTCTGCCTTCACAACCTCGATCGATACATCGGCAACTGAACATCGAACAGGATGAATATTGATGCGATTCTTTCCACGACCAGTATTATTCCACATTAATATAAATGTCGAGGTAAATCCACATGGTTGGATCGTCGTCGTCGCATTTATCCAGCTACGTCAACATCCGAAATCGTCTGTGACGCACGAAACGAGTAGACATGCTGAATTTCAATATATTCCCCCTCGACGAAATCTCGCACCATATCTCTACATATCGAAACGGCCCTGATCTCGAAAAATGTATCGCCATTCGTATCATTTCGTGAAAAACGGAAAACTCTTTTCCACCGTTTCAAAACCGAGAATTAAAAATTTCCCTTCCTTTCGTCTTCTATCTTGAAACACAAATTCGTTTCGATTTTAATCTCAGGATTTTTTTGAATTTTGCATTATCTAACATTATTGCCTTTCGATCGATTAATTTTGAAATTCTTCCAAAAAATTTTCGAGCTCGTTTTATTAATGGGAAACGATTAGACAAGTAATTTTTAATTAAAATTCGAATTTTTCCCAATTTTTAACACTTTTTTTTTTTTTTTATTTACACGTTATTCTAACACGATTAAAGTTCCAATCCACCAGAATCAAAACTTTCTCCCAATTAAAATATTGGGAATTCGAAGGGAGTCAAAATGAAAACCGAAATAAATTCTAGAGGGTGCAAAAATTAAAAATTTTACGCAGCGGTATTGGATCCATTCATTTCCAAAATTTCACATATCAAACTCGTATCAATTAATACAATATAAATAATCGAGATAAATCAATAATCTTGAAAATACGAAAGAAGAAAAAAAAAAGAGGGAAATGATCGATGAAGCTTATTCAGGAGAGGCTTGATTTAATAACCCCCTCTGTCCAATATTTCAAGCCGCCCACGCGGTTGGAAAAACAATTCCGAATAAGCCATCCTCAAAATACTCGTAAAAACCACATTCGCTTAATAATTTATTAATTCCGTCCATTCGATTTTTCAAATCTTTTCATTCCATCTTCATTCATAACTTTGTCCATTTAAGCTGAAAAAAAATATTTCCCGATATATCCACGTTCTCCTATTGTAAAAATAAGAAGGAAAAAAAAAATAAAAAATAAAAATATAGGGAAAGCATCCAGCGTGCTGGTTTTCCTTATGAAAAGGCAACTCTTAACCGACGATTTCGAATCCAAAGACAAGGGGCGGAAAAAAACGCCGATGGCGTGTTTTATAATATGCCTGCGACCACACATTTACCCCGCATGCATGCGCATAAAAGAAGCCCCTAGGGTAACTTCCTCCTCCTCGTGGAAAATATATCTCGATGCACGTTGTAACACGCG